AAAATTTCGAAGCAGAAAGAATTGCTGCAATACAATTATTCTTTAAGAAAATAGAAGTTTCATTAAATTCTTCATAACACGCATGGAGACCATTCTCACTTAAATATCTTTCCTTAGTAAGAAAACAAATATTTTACAGCACTAGCGAACTATACAAAAGAATACAAGTACGAAGTCTCCTTTTTCAAACTAATCTACTGTTTTAATTAGTTACATTTTTACAACAGTTCACATCTCTGTAAAATCTGCTAATAGGCATGTTTTAGTAATCCCAATACAGCGGTTATTGGGAAGTTAAAAGAGAGAGGCAGAGGCACATTCATGTACTCTTACAATAAAGGCGACCCTAATCTACCTTATAATTGTTCGTAGATCCTTATAATACCTTACTACTAACAAGATCAGCCAAGATGCAATTATCCCTTAATCCACAAGTTATATTGCTTCATTTCATCCTATCAAAAGAACTTACAAGCAACGCCCCAGACAAAGTAGGCAATACAAATCGGCCATGTTATTAGGTAATTGTACTGCAGCAAAGTGCTGTTACACACGCGAAGTGTTACTAAGCGGAGTTTGTTACTATGGCGTTGTTCAAATCTGATTTTCGTTTCAATATGTGGGGTAGACCTGTATCAACATATTGAAAGAGTTGAATAATATTTATAGTGTTTCTGCATCTGCTGAATACCATTATTGCTTGGCAAAACAAGGTGCTCAGAGTATCGGGTTTGAATTCCGGGAAGACATCGTGATGGCAGTGTACGTAGGGTAGGGTATATTGAACTTCTGTAAATAAAATCTTTTAGTAAAACTATTTCTTCATCATGACACACATAGAGGAAACGGCACTTCACTTACCATTCTCTATCGGCTTAAAAAAACTGTTTGTAAATAAATCTTGATTTTTTATTATACAAAATCGTAATATATAACATTTCATTGTGGACATCACACCGTGATCTTATTCTCGCCGTTTACACGTTAACGACGTGGAACGTTCAATAACTTTATCTCAATCTGTGCCAAGTAGGTCAGGGGCAAAAGACTTGCCCGTGAAAGCCTAAAACTTCAAATCGCAGAAGACCAAAATCTCACGTAACAGTAAAATTTTCAGCCTACCAGTGCACTCTTTACTTATAAATGAATAACAACTGAAAGAAAATCTAGTCTATATACACTTGGTGGTAAAATCATACAGGTATTTACTGTATTTATTTTAGTTAAACAAAATAAATTAATGTCATTTCAGACAAGATATTTTGATAGCGTCGCCAAACGTAAATTTGAAAATGTATCTAAGTACACTTACGTTAGAAATTTGTTTGTAAAAATTTGTTCTAAATATTTAATGTAAGCAAGAAATTAACTAGAAACAACAATATGTCGCCCATAGATGATAAACATGTAAATCAATGTGCATACTGAATGCATTTTTTGCTAACCGTACCGGCATGGGCATAATTATTTTAATTTATCCAGCATTAATTATTTATGAGTCAATGAAAAGTTCCGCAAACTCCAACTCGGGGTGACAATTATTAAATTTGTTTTGAATACTGGCAATTAAAATTAATATAAATGTGTTTAACTGGCTGTGTCAGCGACTTTGTCCATGTAGAAAAGGTATTTTGGGCATCCAAATTTATTTTTGCAAACCTCCTCCTTATCTTTATGACATTAAGCTGTTACTCACGACGTCGTTCTTGCAAGATAATCTTAATGAATAATTTCCCGCTGTTTTTTTTGCTCCTATAGTTACATTGCGATATTTTATAGCCACCTTCCTCGATAAATGCTAACCAACACAAAAATAGTTTTCGATTCCAACCAGTAGTTCCTCAGATTAGCGCGTTCAAACAAACAAACCCCATCACCTTTACATATTAGTATAGATATAGATTAAAAGTAAGTGTTTTTTCGTCTTTTAATTTAGGCACATCATCTGTCTTTATCTGATGGTTGAAAAATTATGTTCTTTATAACACAAATGTTATAACGATTGAAGCCGACACTGGCGTAATTGCACCTGGCGTGTGAAATGAAAAATAAATGTTAAAATTTTAGGCAATTTTTTAATTGATCAACTCCGTGATTGTATTTAATCAAAGACTTGCATTGAATTGACATAAATTGAGCCATAAAAGGTTAAATATGTTCGCGCAATAACATTGTCAATGGCTATTAATCAAACATAAATGCATAGGTTTGTAATTAGCTAACTAACCTTGAAAGTTTTCTCAATAGATTTATCAGATACATGTATGTAATATAAAAAAAGCATAACATAAATTCATCTTTATTTTTTAATTTTTATAACAACTCTTACAAGAACTATATTTCGGTGTTTAAATAAAACAATTTAAAACGCGATATATTAGTTAAACTTATTTAAAAATGATCTTTAACTTCCGCCCATGACGTTTCGGATGCTTTGCAACAGCCGAAACGTCTCTCCCCGTGACCACAGCTGCTACAAAGCATCCGAAACGTCTATAGACGGTATTTAAAACGTATATCGTAAAATAATAAACATCAGATTTTAAAACCCAGTAATTGCATTCTACATTTATCAACGGTTGAAAATCACCCCAACTGGAATTCCCACTTTGCAACTGACGTAGGGGTAGACCCTACGCTTACAAAATATAAGCAAACATGTTTAATTAAAACATACTCATATTGGACTGCTTCTAATGTGTAAAACATAGTGTATACTACTCTATTCTGACCTTTATAGAAAGCTTATCTCATTTTTAGTGAACCATTGTAATGATAATAAATAAATTGAAAGTGAAGATCCTTTTTTTTGAGTAGGTATGCCTTATATATCGTTGTCACTAGATTACAGATCGTTTTAGGTAATTCCTAAAAACTGTACAATAACATAAGACATTTAATTTGTAAATTTATTAAATATTAAATCCTATACGAATAAATGTTAAAACCTATATTAGGGGAGGATTACCGGAGGGGGGATTTACCGGATTTACTTATTTTTGGATTTATCTATCGTCCGAATAGCAAATTGAATACAACAGGTAGAATTGTCTTAGCTATATAGTATACCAGCTGTGCCCACGACTTCGTCCTCGTGGAATAGTTAATTTGGGCATCATAATATATTATCATATGTCTTGCGAGTTAATATTGAAAGATAGGCATATATTGTCGCGGACATTTTTTAGATATAAGAAGAATTTGGATACTTGAACCGTTTTCACAACTGATGACTTCAGAACCGCTATATAGTATGGAAATAAAGCCTATGTTTGACAGTGAACGTGGTAAGGTGAGTCAGTGGGCTCGTTTCCTGTAGTCTCAGTTTCATAAGCCGAGGTAAGCGCGCCTTCATAATTACGACGCCGGTCGTCGACTGCAAAAACTAACAAAGCTTTTGTATCCGCGACTTTTTGCGACGGGGGTTCGTGCTTTTAATCAACTCAATGCCAATTTTAAATTTGTTTTTGTAATTAAGCTATACATTTTCTATGAATTTAAATTATTTTTTCTATTCTTAAATACCGTTCATAGTATGGCATAGTAGAGTCATACGATCTTAACAATGATCGATTAAAGAATATATAGAGATTATTCTAATTGATTTCAATGTCTGTCCTTTCTTCACAAACCCAAAAACCACCCCCATTACTGAGTCAAAATCGTTATATGATTTTGACGAGCAGTTAAGATGTGTTGTTAAAAAAATATATAACGTACGAGTTTATTTAGATCCGATAGTGTTTATTATGATAAGCCCCTATATTTTAATATAAAAATGATATGGAACATATTTAAAGACTTAAATAAACCACCCCTTTAACGGTTTGAAATGCGAAATATATTACTTATTGCAATTTTAATTCCCACGTCACCACATCTGTAGCATAGCATTCGAAACGTCAGAGCGTATTTAAAATTAACAAAAAATAAGTTAACATTAAACTTCATGTTCTAAACCTTTAAAAGTGTGTTCTTTAAATGGCGTAAACTGCATTGTGCTTAATTTTTAAGGGTGGCCGACTGCAATATGTTTAACTAAATTGTATTATAAAATCACACAATACACCAGTATAAAGAGATATTTTCCGTTATTCCAAAACTCATTGCATACAACCATTCACGGGCATTTGAGCTCTAATTCACACCTCCCACTTGTTTCGCCTGATATAAAGACAATGCTTTTAAGACAAAACCAGGTTTATTTAATACGCACAACAAACAAAGCGGTTATGCCTCTTGCCTCTTCATAATGAACTGAAGACATCTGAATTGTTTTATGCATTATAAAACAAGGGACTAACAGTGGGCCACTGTTTCTTCGCATAGTAAGTAATTAGATTTATCTAAGCCTTTTGAAAGAATAGCTAGGTCACAACCAATTATGAAAAACAAAATGGCCGTTTAGGCCGTGCGTTAATACTTATTTTACATTCGTTTCCTTTTAAACGCCTAACAATAACTGTTTGTAAATGTTGTATTGTCTATAGTTTACGCGAGTAGTACACATTTAAATAAAACACTTTAACGGTTTAAAACGCGATATATTACTTAAACTTATTTGAAGTTAAAAATCATTTTCAAATAAGTTTAACTAATATATCGCGTTTTAAACCGTTAAAGTGTTTTATTTAAATCACAAATCATGATACATTTTTTTTTGAATGATTTGTACATTATTTGATGGCCATTTTGCTTACATTTGGATCGATACAATCAATAATAATGTATTATTGTATCACTGTTTTAAACAAAAATATAAAACAATAGAAGCATAGCATAAAAATGGATCTTATACATTAATTTTTCAAACCAAGCCTTTGAAATTATTCTATCGTTTTGTTCGGTTGTTAACTTATTTTTATGATATTTAAGTGATGGAGACAAGACCAGAACCACACCACTATTCCGTTATGATGCTTTTAGGTTTTTACGACTGCAAAGTTCCTAGCACTATTTTTATAATCTAGAATAACTTTTTAGAATCAGTAGATACTAACCTGACCATATGCCAGCACGGTTGCGTTGTATCCATCTAGGGCTGCTTCTACCAGCTTCCTGACGCAAGTGTCATAGATCTGCTGCTGCCCGACCGAGGGTTCGAAGGCGTAGTCGAAGGTGAAGGCCCTCTCTGAGCCGAGGGCGACGCCGCCTTCGCCGGCCGCACCGCCAGCGCGCGCGCATATACCGCATCCTTCGAGGACTTCCGCCGGTGTTTGTGGCCGAATTCTGAAATAAATTTAATGGCTTAGCTTCTATTACATATCTTAGATATGATACAGTGTTGCGGTGAAGAATTATTATTAACATCGTATTATTAAGAATGGTACCTACATTCAAGTTCATTAATCGCGTCTTTTAATGTTTACAAATAGCTTTCGAGGATTTATTTTGTTTTGGTTTTTACTGCGTGTCTGAAGAAATAAATATTCTAAAATATGATTAAACATTAAAATATTAACTAGCTATTGTTATAACACTAATTACGCTAGCTTTCATAAGTATATTTCATAAAGAGACGAGAGACTAATTAATTTGTAAATATTACATATTATTAAAGTAAATGGCAAAAGTAAAAGTTATCTTACAGTGAAATCTTTTATAAACGCTTTCACACTTTTACGCGGTTCTATTTCAAAATAATACACATTTTAGACTTAATGCGCTGAAGTTTCCTTAACTGAAAATGACAGAAGCCAAACGGCCTCTCGAATTACCTACTTAGATGTGAATTTTGAAAATTGATACATACACTTTTAAATCAATATTAATCAACAATCTATGCAATCTTATAAATGTATATGTACCGAGGTCCGAGATGTTCAAATTATTGTTCAATTGTTAAAGTGCATGTGGCAACACATTTATAACTTAACTAATACATACTTAGGTAACAAAATATATATTTTCTGTATATCTGTTCATTTCCGTTCGAACTATTAAACGGTAAAACATAGGACATGAAAACTTAAGGTAAAGTAAGAATACGTTAATTACGTGTTACGTAAATTTTAATTATCACGAACTGCGTTAATTCGTGACTTGATTAATCAGGATATATAAATAAGACTTGAATATAGGAACTATGAAATTATAAAATTTAATTTGATGGTAACATTACGCGGTATGCCTAAAAAGCGTCGTTTAATAAGTACTTAATGAAATTAATTGCACGATTATATCTACCAGAATCCATTTCTAAATTTAGTAATTACTAAAGCTATAATTTTAGACGACTTACGGTACTCGTAGCCATGACGTCACAATTTATGATAGAGTCGCTGACCTATTGCGACACACGAAAGATCAAGAGAATCGCTATAGGCCTAAAATCCAAGAGTGATCCCTGACCTAAATGATGACCCGTAAAGATTACCGGAGACATTACACGTCTGTACGAACAATTAGGTAATTCTCAAAAGTAGCGCATGCAGCATACGAACGAATCAAGTACGACGAATGAATAAAATAGGACTAATGTTGAAATTAAAAGTACGTATAAATTATTTTAAAATCATTTTATTTTTTTTACTTCAAGATCCCATTTAGACCTCCTGTTCAACACGAGTGATTACATCAGAACTTAACTATAGAGGCCAGAGTAAGGATTTACATCTAACTTCGGTTGAGCCGTTTAGGCGTAAGGGAATTTCAAACATCCATAAAAAATTACAAACGTTTGTATGTTTAATATAACTAAGAGATGAGGTTATGTAAAATACGCAATGTTTTTTGCTTTAGGTAGAGAAAATATAATTAGTATAATATATAATGTTATATTATATGTTATATGTTATTACCCTGAAATACTTAGTATGCATTTTGTCTAAAAATCGTCTACTTCTTAAAATAGTTAATTAATAAAGTATATTTGGGTAGTTGTAAACTTTTAAACGTAGCCCGGGCAATTGCACAATCGCAACTTTCATTTTCAAATCCAGCTGGTCACGCGCATGTCACAAGTCATCCGTCACGCAGATCGAGCACAGATAATAAAGTGCAGCACGATTTATTTAAATAATTAGCGGGCGACGTATTGCGACACTCTCGGGGTAAATAAGAAATTTGATTGGGCATATTATTGTTGAAACGAGACAAGCTGCAGTAAACTTATGAACTGACAATAATATGAGGTACCTACAGATATTATATTCAAAGATTTCTAAGATACCAAATTATTTTTCATTAACTATGCATGTTCTTAGTTAGTAGTTCTAAGTCAAAGCGTAAAAACTCTTCCTTACATTTTTCGTTTCATATCATTCATACTTGATAAAATGAACAATAGAGAAGTGTTTGAAAATTTTAATATTTTTCACATGTTATTGCACGTGATGGCACTATATAAATTAAAAATCGATTATAAATTGAATCGAATCATTTTGAATTTTACCCAGACACGGTAGCTCAATTGGTTAGAGCAACAGCACGGAACGCTGTGGATGACGGTTATAATCAACTTTTAATTTATACTATACAAACCAAATAAATCCGCAGTGTGTTACTAGTGACAAAATATTTATTTATAAATAACAGCGGCCACACGAATAGCCAACGATCGGAAGCGACCAGCAGTCTGGGAATAAGCTGCGCACGCACACAAACACACATGCGCTGGCGCACAATCGTCAAGTGCCATTGATCCGCGGCCCTTCATCATGAATACGGAAGCCGAACACGCGATACGCCTCTCAACTACTTTCCTCAGAGCGATTTGTGTCACGTCGAGTGCACATAAATCCGAATCTCGCTACGTGAATGAAATTTCCTATTATTTAACTCTTTACCTTAGTGCCTTGACTATTTTTGTGTTTCTTAACCGTATTGATGCGATGTGGTTTTATAGAGTATAAAAACTAAACGGTTTTTTCTTTTCAATATTAATCAAAGGCGCATACGGATTATAATTCTTTATTACCTAACGCTATGTTACTTCTGGATACCGGTTGACGCACGTCTTCATAATTCTTGCCCCCTCAGGGGAAATACAAATGCTCACGTCAGGGATTCGTATCAGTTTGTAGAAACTATTAAAGGTCTAAAGGTAGCGGACAATGAGGTTATGGTAAGCTTTGACATCACATCACTCTTTACAAACTTACCTATAGCTGATTGTATCAAAATTATTAAGAGCAAACTTATTAAACACAACATGCCTATAGAATATGCGGATATCTTAGAACATTGCTTGACAACCGGGTACCTACTTTGGAATGGGGATTTTAGTTCAGGTAGATGGGGTAGCCATGGTCGTTTCACCCTTAGTGCTGACATTTTTATGGAAGACTTTGAGGAGAGAGCCCTTGCTTCTTCCCCGGTTAAACCTAAGCTTTACAAGCGATACGTAGATGATACCTTCACCATCTTACCCAAAGCACAATGCATTTCTTACACACCTTAACTCAATTCACAATAACATTAGTTTAAATGGAACAGGAGGACAATAACAAACTACCTTTCTTAGACATTTTAGTAATTCGTGATGAACACGGTAATATTGGGCATACCGTCTTTAGAAAAACAACCCATACAGATAGGTATTTGAACGGTGACTACATCACACCAGCCAACTTAGTTCGTCGGAGTATCTTTTTTCAGAGAGCCCGCCGTCTCTGTGATGCTGCCCACTAATGAAGTTACAGCAGTCAAGCAGGTCCTATGCAAGAACAAGCGAGAGTCCCTCCGCAGCATCCCAGGAACAGGAACAAGCCACCCACAGTCAAACGTAGCCCGCCTACCTACCATAGTGAGGGAGTTACAGATAGAATTAGCAGAGTCCTAAATCGAGCTTCTATTGACACAATTTTCAAGCCGAAAGAAGATTCAGCAATTCCTGAAACCAAGCAAGTGTACTATCCCTTTAGAGAGGCTTTACAGACTGGATTTGATTGTGGCCTATCCTACATCGGCCAAACAAAGCGTAGCATCTCAAACAGAATTAAAGAACACGTCGCGGATATAAAACATAAACGTCTCTCCAAATCTGCGGTATGCCAACACACATCAGAAGGGCCCAATCACTACATTCGCTTTGACCAACCAAAAATCCTCGCAAAGGAGAGTCGATTTTTTCCAAGATGTACGCGAAGCAATTGAAATAAAAAAACCGAAATTTCAATAGAGGACGGCCTCAAACTATCAAACACCTGGGATCCCATATTAAAAACTCTGGATCCCAATAAACAGCATACCAGCAAACGCGAAGACACCGTTAGTCAATTCTGTAAGGACCCGGCAGTTTGCCAAATACCAACTTCGACGGAACAGATGGCGCTAGCGTAGCAATTTTTTACTTTGACGTCTGAGACATCCTCCATCTTTAGTCTCCCCGTGCCACGGCTGCTGCAAAGCATCCGAAACGTCGCCGAAGTTAAAAATCATTTTCAAAAGTTTAACTAATATTCGCGTTTTAAACCGTTAAAGTGTTTTATTTAAAAGTGTTTTATTTAATTCATAATTCTTTTCACATTAATAAATTCGATACTATATCTTGTTCTAAAATATTATTCGTGCACGACCGGGAGTTGAACGGTCTACTTCACTATTTAACTTCAGTCTGCTGCGCACCACGCAATAGATTTGAATAGTCTGGATTTATTTTCGTACGCGTACCTACTGATTTATACAGAATATAACGAGTCTAATGGTAACAATGTATTTCTAAAAATCTACAGGTTCCTCTTCCGTCATAAAAATTTAACAAAATGAAATATCATATAATTGTATGAGAGTCGTCACAGTGATACCATAAATAATCCATCCAGATTCGAACTGCTCCTTTTTAGCAATCAATCCTGGCAACTTTTCAATTCATGTCGAGCGTTTCCGAGTAAAACCTACGCGTATTGTTTCTGCTTTTCGAGCCGAGGGTATTGAACGGAACATACTAATTGCACAACGGCGCACGCGAAGTTTGCCCAAGAAAATCGTTGCATGTCTTTAGTTTCAATGAAAATATTTAGATAATATGTACCTGTGTTCATAGGAAGTATCGCTGCAGCCAGATTGAAAGCGTTAATTATTTTAACGTACCAAGTAAAAATGTAGAGTTAGCATGTTTTATTTGGGAGGAAAGCACAATAAAAAAAATACCTTAAAGAACTACTCTAAACAAGTAAAAAGTTTAGTATTTCCTTTTATTGCTTATGAACAGACCAGCGAATGAGGGGCAATAAGGATCTCCCCCTTCCTTAACCAGAAGGGATCTGTTAGCATTGGGTTGTGAAATT